AGCACCATATTAATATGGGTCCCTTTCCCCTTTCCTTTTGTGCCTGCTCATATCTGTAGACAGTAGTTTTCCTATTCCTAGTCCTTTATACCCAAAGAAGAGTGACTTTTAACTAGTCACATGATCTTGGGTGAGTCTAGGTGAAGAGAAAGACAAGTATCAATACCTTCAGGGTGGTGACTGCACAGTGGGCCAGTCTCCACTACTCTTTTGTACTTTTAGTGTGTTCAGTAGCCAGGTAAAGATGTGGTCATGTACCTGTGTGGTTTATGCATTTTACCAGAAACTTGGCTTCCTCATGTGCAAGACACGAAGTTAGACTATGTCATTTTCTAAGGTCCCTTGTCTGTCACATCCTGTACCTCTATGGCAGATCGTGACATTAGAGGTCAGGATCTGAGTTTAACAGCAAGTGGCTTTGGGACTTCTCATAAACCATAATAAGTATACTAGAACCTTTTAGAGGCTAAACAAACTGGAAACAGAGCGTTCCAGGAGGTGTTATAGATAAATTCATAGAAGATGGGCTCAGGCTGGACAATCAAATGGGGTGCTTGGGTTGCATTTCCAAGGGTGTTTTTAAAATTTTTTATTGCATTTATTTATTTGGTGTGTGGGCATCCATATGTGGAGATCAGAAGACAACTTTGAGGGGTCAGTTCTCTCCTTCCACCATGTGGGCTGTGGGGATCAAACTCAGGTTGTTAGACTTGGTGGCAAGTGCCTTTATCCACTGAGCCATCTCACCGACCTGTTGAGTGTGACTGTAAGAACCCTAGAAGGTATGTAGAAAAGCAGCATGTTTCATTTCCAGCTTACAAGGACTCAGCAATCACTGCAGAACAGTGATAAAATGTCTGCTAGGATTTGCCTGTCCAGGTCTTTGTACTGAGCACATTCCTGGGGAAATACAGCCTAGGGGCTTCAGGCCACACAGTCAGGAAGGAACGAAGCTCAGCTCCTGGTGTGTGGACTGGCTGCTCTCTGGGCTGCAGGTGAAGACAGTGCACGGAGCATCCAGGCATTGAGGTGACAGTGACGACACTGTCTAAACCCTGACTCCTACAGAGATGCAGTTCTATGGTGCGCGTGGTCCTGCGGGGATCGGTCCCCTGGTCTCAGCCGAGTACCCTGGAAGAAGGCGGGTCTGGCCCCGTGGGCTTCTCCGTGTCTCTGTGGGTCTCTGCTGCTGGAGCGTTGTCCAGCCGTGTCTCCGCCCTGATTTCACCCGTGTACTTTCCTCAATATGCGAGTTCCACGGCCGCTACAACACGTGGGAAAGTACGAGGTGGCTGAAGCTGGGATCCGCGAGTCGGTGACAGAGGAATGCTGCCTCCGGAGAGGCTGGATTGCTGGTAGTAAGACATGGGACTCTGCTTAGTCCGTGTTACAGCTTTTATTAAGTGTTCAGCTCCTAGTGATCCAGCTCTCTATTATTGAGAGAAGACTGGGATATTTATACCATGGGGGTAGTGGTAAAAGCTTTGGCTGATAGATACTTTGTGAGACATTCTATTTGCATATGGAAGTGGGTTTCTGCCATGCTGCCAGACCGCTGACTGCCTGAAAAATCACAGGAAAGTATGGTATTCCTAGAGCCAGAGGCCATGTTTATGTTAGGGCATTTGTGGCGGGCACTTCAAAAGGAGAGTTAGGAAAAATGCCAGGAAGGCACCCTGCTATGAAAGGAGTCTCAGCACATGGCTCCGAGCTCGTGAGCTATCCGGATATGAAGAGACTTCTACTTCACATAACAGAGGCCCCCAACACAGTTCCAGCTTAAAGGACCAGGAAGCTTCAACTTGCAGCTCTATAGTCATGCCTGTGATCCCAGCATTCACTCTGCCTGGCTTCAGAGTGAGATCCTGTCTCAAAAACCCAAAACCCATTCTGCAGTGAAAACGGATGTCATCTGCCTGGGCATTTCCTTTCCAAGAATCCATTGCAAACACCCACAGGGACAAGATAGGAGCCTTGCTCCTCACACACAGGTTCCCACTTTCAGCCTGAGACAGATGACTTTCAGTGTCTTGGGCAAACACTCCCAACAATCTCTGAGGAAGTTAGGAGCATGTCTCTAGGGCTGCGACAGGCTGGAGTGCACTGGGAGTCACCTGGGCCAATGGAAGTCAGCTGTCATACCAGCCTGTGTTCCTTAGCCACCAGGACCAATTGCACAGTGCCCTCTCTGTGCAAGGGGAGGTGTCTTGCAAGAACTTCACCCACCAAGAGCCTAGGGTAGAAGAAAGGACACCTGTGTGCCTGTAGGGACTTCCTTTGCTTCGACTGCTCACCTGGGGCCTTCTACAACCTGAGACGGGAGGGGGGCCTCCCATGACTGTCATTGCTGGCCTTGGGTGCTTCTCTCAAGAAGTCACAAGAGGCAAAAGAGGGAAAACTGGGGTGTCTTATTCATTTCTGTTGCTGCAATAAAATCCCCTGACAAAAGCACCTTAGGGGAGAAAGTGTTTATTTGGCTCACAGTTCCAGGTTATGGTCCATCACTGCAGAGGAATCAAGGCTGCAGGATCTTGAAGCAGCTCAGCTGGTCACATCCACAATCAAGAGCAGAGAATCGAATGCCTGCCTGCCAGTGCTCGGTTCACTTGCTCCTTTAAAGAATCGTGTGTGTGTGTATGTGTGTGTGTGTGTCTATGTGTGTCTATGTGTGTCTCTGTCTGTGTCTGTGTGCATGTGCATGTGCAGGTGAGCCTGTGAACATTAGAGAACCCTTGGGAGTTGGTTCTCTCTACTATGTGGGTCCTGGGGATCGCACTCAGGTCCTCAGACTTGGTAGCAAGCACCTTTACCCTTTGAGCCATCTCCTAGGCCAACTTTCTCCTTTTCTATACAGTCTAGGATTCAAACCTAGGGACTAGTGTCACCCACTTGTGAGCTTGGTCTTCCCATGTGCACTAACACAATGCAATGCCCCCCACAGACCTGCCTATAGGCCAATCCAATCTAGACAATTCCTCCTTCCCAAGTGATATTGCATTTTGTCAAATGGACCATTAAAACTAACCATCACATGGGTGAGTCTGCAGGGCCTGGCTCTGTGTCCATCGAGCTACAAGATAGCTCCTTTTTCTGCCAGGCACTGCCGAGGTCACAGTCTCCTTCAGAACTCTATTCCTGGGCTTGCCAAGTGCCTTGTTGTTTGCCAATCGAGAAGGAGGTCAGCGGGCCCTGCAAGACTGGCACCAGCTGGGCAGAGCTATATTGGCCCAGGCACTGGGCAGGGGGTGTCTGAGCTCCACTTACTGTCCTTTCCAGCCGAACCATGCCAGTATGTGCCTCTCCTCAGTCAGTTTTTTAAAAATTTATTTTATTTTTATTTTATGTGTATGAGTGTTATGCCTGCATGTATGTGAGTGTACCTGTGTCATGCAGTGTCAGTGGAAGACAGAGCATCAAGCATCAAGTCCCTGGAAGCTGGAGTTACAGGCAGTTGTTAGCTACCATGTGGGTGCTGGGATTCGAACCTGGGTCTTCTGCAAGCACAGCCAGTGCTCTTAACTGCTAAGCCATTTCTCCAGCCCCTAGACTGAGGGAGGGTCCTCACTAAGCTAGGGACCTGTGAGGGACAGCCCTGACCTGGGGGAGAGTGGGGTAAAGCTGGATGAGGAAGAAGTTTCTCCAAAGGGCTGCCCCCAGCTGGCCATGGGTTTGAGGCTCCAGCATCTCTGAGCAGGTCAGCACCCACACCTTCACCTGGCCTGGGAGCTCGAGGTTCAGGGGACTAGACATTTTCTCTTTCTACATGTCACCCTGAGTCTTCAGGTCTGCTCCCAGTGCCACTTTGTCAAGAGGTTCTATGTGAAGCCACCTCTGCTCAGACTGCTGCAGAAGCTGCTAACAGACGTGTTAGGCCACGACTTCTGGGCTTGCCTCAGGCAGCTCTGGAGTGGAGCAGGGGACTGCAGTTCTAAGAAAACTCCTGGTGGTGTGGACTCCCTGTGCAAGGCACCAAGGGACTGTCTAGTGTGGTATTCATTGACTGATTCCTGCAGCAGACACTGACATAGCTTGTACTCTCTAACTCTTCTGACAAAGGGACTTGGCTGTGGGTCCCAGGCATCCCTGTCCTAGGTGGCTGATGTCCTAGGAAGGAAACAGAGAGCTTGAAACTCGAGGCCCAACAGTAACAAAGGAATGTTGAGGAGAACAGAGGAAGGGATGGGCTATTTCCTGGGGCTTACCAGCAAGGCAGTGTTTGAGCTGATAGAGGGGAAAAAGGCTGTGGGGCAAGGGAGGCCCTAACCTTTCTAATCCTGTTTTGTTCCATGCTCAGCATTTTACTTTGAAAATGTGACTCATGTTTAAAAAAAAAATCATCCTCACCTGCCTGCTCCATAGCAGGTTTTTCATTTCATTTACATGTATGTGCCTGTGTGAGTATATGTGCACATGACTACAGTGCCTACAGAGGTCAGAAGAGAGCATCAGATCCCTTAGAGTTGGAGTTACAGGTGGCCATGAGTTGCCTGATGTGGGTGCTGGGAACCAAACCCAGGTCCTCTGTAAGAACAGCAAGTTCTCTTAACCACTGAGCCATCCCCTATAGCACAGTTTTAAGGACAAATGCAATTAAATATGTGTGATTCATCACAAGGAAGCAGGAAGCCAAAGCTGTAAATCTGAGCCTATCTTTAGTGGGAGAAACCCTGGAACTCCACTGGCTATACTCCTCTTGATAGGTCGGGGCATCCAGAGGGCTAAGGGACCAGCACCAGGAGCCATTCCCGACCACACAGTTGGGGACCTAGTCCTTAAGGATAGGCCACTTCCTGCTCACCATACTGGGTGTGCATCCAGGTCTAAAGGTGACTGTGTGGGGATGGAGGGGCAGAGCCTGACTGGAGTCTAAGATATAACACCAATTGATGAGGGACAAACCTGCAGCGGGACCAGTTCAGCTGCTCTCACAAACATCAGCTGTCATGATGAGGTGTCTGCCACACCTAACTTCTTTCAGCACCATGTAATGTCTTTTCCAGGCCCAGCTGTCTCAGGCCTTAAATGGGGTTTCAGATAAGGCCAAAGAGGCAAAGGAATTTCTGGTTCAGCTCAGGAACATACTGCAGCAGATCCAGGTGAGCATGCTTCGGTGGTGGGCGGACCTAACCTGGGCTGTTTGCAAAACACAGAAAGGAAGGAGGGGAGACCTGGGGATGAGTGTTGTTCAGGGATCATTATTAGAGGGTCACCCTGTCCTGTTGTACAGCTGGGGATGCTGAAGGTACCATGTTCAAGCCTGTTGACACACAGGTGACACCATTTGTATCCAAACATGCCCATGTAACCAAGGCACGAAAATATAAACCCCTTGTTTCCTAAACAAATGTGTTAGCCAAACACCTTTGCTACGTCCTATGCTGAGCCTGACCAGCATACAAAACTCAGTGAGCCTTACTTCAGGAAGCTGTGTGTAAGGGAGAGAGTGCTCACACATACCGTATGCACACACACAGGGTCAGTCTGTACAGACTATACCACCATATGCTGTGGTTCACAGAACACCTCCTTGGTTCACATTCGTGTTGTCTGCAACTCAGAAACAGTACAGAAAGCTCTTGGAGGAACTTTGGGAAATACTGCTTGCCCCACAGACCAGCATCTCCTGACCATGGATCCCTGCTTTCCCAGGAAAATGGACTGGACTATGAAGCTTGCCTAGTGGCACAGTGCGATGCCCTGGTGGATGCGCTGACTCGGCAGAAGGCCAAGCTGCTCACTAAGGTGACCAAAGAGAGGGAGCACAAACTGAAGGTAGGCACTGAGTGATGGCTCCTCCACCCCCAACACTGGGTGGCACAACCTTGGGCACTGGGTGGTTTTAGGTGAGTGGCCGAGTGAGTGAATGAATATGTGGGGAGGCGCTGAACCTGCTGGTCCAGTTACATTCAGGGCCAGCGGACACCCCCAAGCTCTCTCCAAAGCCAGGTGGGCTACAGCATCCTGCTGTATTTGAGTCAGAAGCCCCTCTGTCCCCTTGGCTCTGGGCTCCCAGGTCTGTTGGAGAGTCTCGTCTTATTTTGTCTATCAGTGGACGTTGGCAGCAACAGGTTGGCTCCGTTCAGGTCTCCTGCGCTGTCCCCTCAGGCTCTCTGATGTCTCATGTACCCATAATCAGCAATGATGTGTACGGTACAGACCAGCACCACCTCTCCCAGATGCCCAGGCCCTCGCATGGCTGTGGCCTAGCTACTCTTCTCGAAAGCAGGTTCCTCAGAGCTCTCTCTGTTGCAGATGGTTTGGGACCAGATCAATCACTGCACGCTGAAGCTGCGCCAGTCCACAGGGCTGATGGAGTACTGCCTGGAAGTGATCAAGGAGGACGACCCCTCAGGGTTCCTGCAGGTGATCTGCCCTGGAGGACTGCAGGCAGCTTCCTTCAGTTCTGTTAACACTGTCCTCACTCTCCCTGTACCAGCCCGCACTCTAGGCTTGGCCCTTCCTTAATTGGGACTTTTTGTAGCTTCTTCTTCATTCGGGGAGGCCAGAAAGCCCGAGCTGTCACTGTGGTCTTGACCCTTGATAGCCAGACTCTAAATTTGCATCATCCAATGAACAAAAAGGTTAAAATGCATAATCTCCGGGGGCCAAAAGCCATGATCCAACATCCTCCCTACCAATGGGAAAGCATGGAGCATGGTCTGAGCCAGAGAGACTGCACAGGGAGAGGCAAGGGGCAGAATCTTCCCAGGGCCTCGCTCTGTTGGAGCCCTGCAGGCCTGGCTGGTAACTGACAGTGCAGCCTGGACTTTGTTCCAGCATGCCAGCTGGCCTGGGGGCATACATTCTTAACCTATAGGGGAAGCCATGAGTCCTGTTGCTCATTTCCTAAGAAGGGTGCAGGACACTATGACTCTTCAGGGCTATGTGCCAGGGTCCTACTTTGCAGCAAAGGAGGGCAGAGCTGCAGGTGTGACTCAGTAGTCGGTATTTGCAGCAGAAGGCACAGAATAGCTGGGGGAGACACAAAGGGCGAGGTGGGCTTCAAGACTCAAGGGATCTGGGATGTGCCTTCTTCACACCCAGGAGTAAATAGCTAGTATGTTTCCCTTTGCGAAGTGTGAGGTATGTCCAAACAGATGTGTGAGGATGTGTTTCCATATTTGAAAATAATACTGTGACTTCATAAATGGGTTTGGCCTAGTTTCTCAAACTCCTTGGTGGTTCTTTACATTAACATGATCACAAAAAGTACACGCCTTTATCCCAGCACCCGGAAGGCAGAGGCAGGCAGATCTTTATGAGATGGAAGCCAGCCTGGTCTCCATAGTGAGTTCCAGGCCAGCTGGGGCTATAAGGAGACTCTGTCTCAAAAAGACAAAAAATAAATTAAACAAATGAAAGTCAACAGGACTGTGGGTCCAAACCACAGCTAAAACAATAAAGCTCATCTTTCAATGGCCAATACTGGAGTGGTCAAGGGGTCATTTAAGCTTTGGCTGTGCCTCATGGGTCCAGACTCAGCCCAGCTCCTCCCCTTCTCTGAGCCACAGAGACAAAGACACAGTCAAGGCCTTCCTCATGGAGGCTGGCAGCTCTTCCTCTGCAAATCCAAACTCTCTGTCTGTGTTCCCGTTAAGATCTCTGACGCCCTGATCAAGCGTGTGCAGGTGTCTCAGGAGCAATGGGTCAAAGGCGCCCTGGAGCCCAAAGTGTCTGCGGAGTTTGAGCTGACCCTGGACAGCGAGCCGCTGCTGCAGGCCATCCACCAGTTGGATTTCGTCCAGATGAAATGTAGGGGTGAGCCGTGGTCGGACCCATTCAGTGGTGCTGCCTCCCTGAGAGGCACCCACGCTAAGGGTAGCTTGGTAGTAGCAGAGGCCTGTGATGCAGGGTGGCAGAGGGAGGGGTGAAGATGTCAGGTCTTGGCCAGGTTGGATGAACAGCGGCTGAGCCAGAGTGTCTGTTTGTGAAACAAAGGTTAAGAATTAAGAGCAGAATGGAAAGGGGCAGTGTCCACAGGTGCCAGGCTGGCCAGGTGCTTAGGCTGCAGACACCAGCAAAGCTGTAGATCTTGGCTCAGTCTGTGCTTCTGTACTAGAAAAGGAAAGAGACAAGGTGCAAACAACTCAGCAATGTGGTGTGTGCTAGGAGCAGGTGCTAGGGAGAAAAGGTAGGGGGAGGTGTGAGGGTAGATGGCCGGGGTATAGTCTGAGGTGAGGAGGAGAAGGAGGATACGGAAAAGGAGAAAGGAGAAGAGAAGGAGGGAGAAGAGGAGGTGGGTAGGAAGGAGGAGGAGGGGAGGTGGTGCACATCTCTGATCCTAGCATGAGGAGGAGGAGGGAGAGTAGAAGAGGAAGAGGAGGAAGGAAAAGGGGAGGGAGGGTAGGAGAAGTGGAAGAGGGAGAATAGGAGAAAAAGAGGAAGAGGAGGGAGAGGAGGAGAAGGGAGGAGGAGGAAAGGAAGGGAATGGAGGCCAAGGAGAAGGAGAAAGAGAAGAGGGGCCCCAAGGCAGGGAAAGCTTTCTGTCCCAAGAAGAGTGAGAGGTCAGAAGCGGCAGCAGAAGAAACAAGAGCCAGCAGGAACCCGCAGCCAAGGGTCAGTGAAGTTGGCCCCAGCTTGGCCGGTTACAGAGTTCACAAGTGATGGCCAGAACTGGACCTCTGTTCTGCTTGCCACTTTGAGATGCTCAGGGTTCACTCGGGGGGGAAGACAGCCACCGTGGTTTCTGGGAGCCATAGCATCACTATCCTGCCCTTCACAGCATATGTCATTTTTTAAAACTTATTTTTATCTTATGTGTATTAGTGTTTTGTGTTATGTATGCAATACCATGTGGGTACTAGGAATTGATCTAAGGTCCTCTGCATGAACAGCCAGTGCCCTTCACCACTGAGCCAGCTCTCAACCCCTTTGTGGCCATTTTTAACCTAACAGAAAAACCGAGTCTCTTGCACAGCCCCAGGCTCACTCCTATGCAGATCACACTTCAGTGAAGTTCGTAAACGCCACCTGCCCCAGGTGTAAATGAGACACAGTGACAAGGAGCAGGGTTGGGGAGCCAGGGTGGGAGAAATAGCCCCGGAAAGTGGGGGCCACCTAGGAGACTTGAGAGTATAGGTGCTGATTCTTACCCATGGGATTGCAGGGTGTGGGAGGTAAAGGACCAAGAGGATGGAGAGACTCCTCTAGCTGAGTGGAGGGAGGGACTGGCTGCACCTGCTACATGCTAACACAGATTTCACCTGATGGGAGCATCAGCCAACACTGGGGAGACAGGGACCTCATTTCTGGAGCCAAATTGAAACAGGCAGTTTTTACAAAACCCATCTTGCAGTTTTTCTCTTTTAAATCAGGTCAGAGTGAATTGTGTAACCTTCTGGAACCTCTTTGCCTGAACAGAACCAGAACACGTTCAAAGTTCCTCTTGGTTTAAGAGTTCACGCCACACCTGATTCAGTCCCTTGCTCTGTGGGCTGGTTGTCCAGTCCTCTGAAGCTGCATCCATGCTGGGGTCTAGTCCCCTGATCTTGAAAAGCTTCCACCAAAAGGTCAAACTGTCTATATATTTTGTTCCCCACCTGTGTTAGTCAGCTTTCTGTTTTACCCGAGCCCATCAACTTATAAAAGATACAAGGCTGAGGGGGTGGAGAGATGACTCAGTAGTTAAGAGCACTGGCTGATCTTACAGAGGACTTGGGTTTGATTCCCAGCACCCACATGGTGGCTAACAACCATTCATAACTCCAGTATGATGGCCTCTGTGGGAATTACATGCATGTGGTGCATCTACATACATACAGGCAAAACACTCATACACATGAAATAGAAATAAATTTTTTTTTATCTTTTTTGAGACAGGGTTTCCCTGTAGCTCCAGCTGGCCTGGAACTCACATGTCAGACCAGACTAGCCTCAAACTCACAGAGATCCACCTGCCTCTGCCTCACAAGTGCTGAGACTAAAGGCATGTGCCACCATGCCCTGTGAAATAAATCTTTTTTAAAAGCAGAAAAGTTTGGCCCACAGTTTTGGAGATGTTGGTCCGTGACTGGCCCATTGCTGTGGTGATACAGCACCTGTGTTGGAGCCAAACTTCTCACCTCATAGCCAGAAAGCAAAAAAGAGAAAGAGGTTGGGGTCCCACCATCTCCTTCGTGGGCACACTACCAATGACCTGAAGACATCCCACCAGCCCCTGCCTCTTTAAGGCTCTATCCCAATGGCACCACCCTGTGGAGCAAGCCTTTAGCATGTGGGCCTTTAGGGGCGCTGAGGTTGAAACCAGGGCATGTCCAGGTACAGGCTGCAGGCTGGCTCTTGCTTTGTTCCCTGCCCTAGGGACAGGGCCCACATGGGTCCCTGCAGTAACCCCACAGTATGTGCAGTGTGGACTCTGCCGAGGTTCATCAGGTGCTTCAGTTCTCAGTGGGCTTCTTTCTTCAGGCCCCAAGGGTTTGGATGGAGAAGGGGTCTGACTGGGGCCTGCAGGAGGAAGCTGTGTGCTGACCTGAACATTCCCTGTCACAGTGCCACCTGTGCCCCTGCTGCAGCTAGAGAAGTGCTGTACCCGCAACAACAGTGTCACCCTGGCCTGGAGGACACCACCCTTCACCCACAGCCCGGCAGACGGCTACATCCTGGAGCTGGATGACGGTGATGGGGGGCAGTTCCGGGTAAGGGAGGCTGCTGCTGTTTGAGGGCAGTCTCTAGGGACGCCTGCTGGTCTTGGAGTAGCTGTGGGTGAGGCCTTCTGGTCTGGGGACAGCTGTGGGTGAGGCCTGCTTTTTGTGGGGGGGCAGTCCTAAGTAAAGCCTGCTGCTTGTTTGAGAACCCTAATGCACAGGCCCAGACAGAACTGGTTTGTGAGGCTTTCTTTAACCCTGATGAGCACCTTAGCCACAAAGACAGAGCCTGCTGACTGGGCTTGTGAGCAATAGTGCGTCCTGTGGTCTGACCACAGCCTCAGGCAGAGGTGTGTATCAGAGAATCCTGGGTGATTCCTGTGAGGACCAATAACAGGTGTGGGGAGAGCAAGCTCGGAGAGGCACCGCCTACATACACATACTTCACGCAGCCCGGCACTCACTTCATGCACCTGCCACGCATTCCTTCCACAGGTTTCTCACTTCTTTAGTCTGGCTTTCTGACTTTGGCCACCAGAGTCGTTGGGTGGAGTCCCATCTCAAAAGGCACACATTTCTGCAAAGAAAGTGTCTCTCTTAGGCCCTTCAGTACTTGGTAAGGTGCTGGATGCGTGGAAGACCCATGAACACTGATGCTAGCTGGGTGTAGTAGCTCATGCCTGAAATTTCAGCACTCAAGGTCAGAGGCAGGAGGATTGACACAAGTCTGAGGCTGGCCTGGGCTACAGAGTAACATCTTGTCTCAAACGAACAAACAAATCCATAATGGGGTCAGGGTGGGAAGTGAATGGAGGACAAAGCAAAACTCTTTTTGTTTTGTTTTTTATTCTTTGTATATGAGTATATTGCCTGCATGTGTGTAAATGCACCCGTGTTGTACAGTGCCCTCAGAGGTCAGAAGAGGGCATCAGATTCCCCTGGAACTGGAGTTACAGACAGTTGTTAGCTGCCATGTGGGTACTGGGAATCAAACCTGGGTCCCCTGTAAGAGCAGCCATCTCTCCAGCCCCCTTTTCAGTGTACTGAAAATCAGAGTCTGGTGCAGGAATGGCTCACCTTCTGGGGGACCCAGAAGCCATAAGACACAGAGGCCAAGGAACAGATGTCAATCATAAGGTCAGGAGAGTATGGGGGTGTCCATGTTCCCCAGGGCATCCAGAGGAATGAGGGCAGAGGCAGGTAGCTGTCAAGCAACATCCTGGCTGGTTTCACGTCTATAACCCCATCCTCCCAGGACCCTGAACCCCTCACAGTCTCCCAGACAGTGGGGCCAGGCATCCAGGAGGAATCAGAAAAATCTGGGCCCCACCAGGCCAATCAGGATGGGTTGAAACAGCCATCATTTGGTACTTCTGTTGGGTTGAGAGCACTGGTGTTGATGTATTCTTAAGGAGGATTTCCAGAAGCTCCAAGGCCTAACGTGCAGCCTTGATCTTCCAGGAAGTGTATGTTGGCAAGGAGACCCTGTGCACCATTGATGGGCTTCACTTCAACAGCACTTATAATGCCAGAGTGAAAGCGTTCAACTCCTCTGGTGTCGGGCCCTATAGCAAGACTGTTGTCCTGCAGACCTCTGATGGTAAGTACTGTCTTTTTGACAAGCACATTCCTTTCTTCAGTGCTGTGATCAGAATGTCAGAACAAGACCCTGTTTCCTACATCCCAGGGTGGTGAGCAGAAGAGGTACCCAATGGGATTTGAGTATTTGACAGGATGTCAGGAGCCAGGACTCCAGGAAATATGTCTGGATGTGGGACTGGACAGCCTGAATGTCTGGGCTCCTTAGCAAGGCTGGATTTAGGGGATGTCAACTTAGAGAAACACAGAGCAGGGAGCACATGTGTGTGTGTGTGTGTGTGTGTGTGTGTGTGTGTGTGCTTCCCATACAGAGACCATTGGCTACAGGTTGCTAACTGATGGAATCAAGAGAGTCTGTCACCTGGGCTACGTAGCAAGACTTGTTTTACAGAGAGAGAGAGAGAGAGAGAGAGAGAGAGAGAGAGAGAGAG